GATGTTGGAACTACAGTCATGTGCCACCATGCCCAGCTAATTTTTTAATTTACTGTAGAGATGAGGTCTTGCCAAGTTGCCCAGGCTGATCTTGAACCCATGAGCTCAGGCAGTCTTCTCACCTCAGCCTCCCAAAGTGCTGTGCCCGGCCTTACTTGACTTCTGCAAAGCAAAATTGATACGGTGGGGTCAAAATTTGCCCAATTTTATGGTACTGTAAAGTCATGGAGTATCATGTGTTAAGATGGTCCCAGCTTCTTTAATTATGAATATCAGGAACCCTTTGGTGATGAAGGGTGCCCTGGTGACAGGAGGAAGTGGACTCTGAAGAAGACAGAAAAGACAGGAAGTCTTTGAGAGAGGACTAGTTTTGGATTGGAATGTGTCTGACTCCCACTATGTGCTGGATGACATCAGTGAAGTCTTCCAGTTTTGTTTATACATCCTGGTTCCATTTGTAGTGTTCTCACACCTGGAGACCAGCTCCTCTTTCTCCAGGAGGTCTTTCCTAAAGTTCCCGAAGCAGGGTCAGGTTCTGGAGCTCTCTCTGAGTTGCTGAGATCCTTGTGAGTCCCACTCTGAGGGGTGGTGCTGGTGTGGCCCTGTGTCCTGGCCGTGTGGGTGTCCCTTCTCAGTGGGGAGGGGCAATTAGAGAGTAGGATCCTAGCAGAGCACTGGTCTAGTGGGTGAGGGCTGACTTCCTTGAGAAAAACCCTCCTGGGGTGGCCATCCTCACCTGGGGCTTAGAGTAGGAAGGCGGGAAGCTTGGAGCATGTTAAAATGGAAAGTTTCGGTATGGACTTTGGAGTCAGGTGGACTTGGAGATCCAGTGCCAACCATGCCACTAGCTCTGTGGTTTGGTTCCTCCTCTGTAAGATGGAGGAAATGACAGCTAACCCAAGACAGTGTGAGCCTAAAAGTGTGGGGTGTACGTAAGAGCTCTGTAGGGTTCCTGACACTTAGTAGGAGCTCAGCTCTGGAAAGCTCTTTGCTGTCATTTCTCTGATGCAGGGTAGATATGGGTGACAAGGTGCAGAGTGTGCCCCTAAGAAGCTGCTGGTCCTGTGAGAGATGAGGCATGGTAAGTGCCAATATGGAAGCTTTGTCAGTGCCTTGACTGCTTCGAGGAGGGAGCCTGCTCTGCTGGAGTGCTATGGGAGGTGTTGAGGAAAGCTCCTGAGGGTGGGGACATTGGACAAACCCCAATTCAACTGCCTGGATGCCCCTTGACAACTACTCTCGCAGACACCCTGGGCCACCTCTTAGCACTCCCACAGCCTCTGGTGTCTGGTTGCTGAGGTGTCCCCGCAAACTTAACCTTTCTCTCCTGGTGTAGGAGTGTGGTGATTATTTAGGTATCTATATGCCTTGGTGCACCTGGAGGCCACTGTCTCTCCATGCTTCTTTTGGTCACTTGAAAGCCTGTGACTTTGGAGGGGTGTGTAGTTGGTGAATAGTTTATCTGGAGTGCTTTCTACTAACTCTTGTTTCAGAAATGAATCTGGATGGATTGGTAAATGGATCAGGATGATAAATGTTGATTAAAATCCTTTTCCCCGTTCTGTGAGTAAGAATTATATCACAGCTCCTGGTCTGAGCTGGTCTGAAACTGCCTGTTTTATCCCTTGAGGCTGCCATAACAAAATACCATAAATTAGGTAGCTTATAAAAAACAAGTTGGCCAGGCATGGTGGTTCACCACCTTAACCCCAGCACTTTGGGAAGCCGAGGTGGGAGGATTGCTTGAGCCCAGGGGTTTGAGACCAATCTAGACAACATAATGAGACTAGTCGCAACAAAAAATCAACAAATTATGAGTGTGGTAGCATGTGCCTGTACTCAGGAGGCTGAGACAGAAGAACTGCCTGAGACCAGGAGGTCAAGGCTGCCGTAAGCTGTGTTTGTGCCACTGTACTCCAGCCTAGGCAACAGAGTGAGATCCTGACTTAAAAAATAATGATAATAGGCCGGGCTCGGTGGCTCAGCTTGTAATCCTGCACTTTGGGAGGCCGAGGGGAGTAAATTGCCTGAGCCTGCGGTTTCGAGACCCGCCTGGGCAACTTGGTGAGACCTCATCTCTACAATAAATCAAAAAAATTAGCCGGGCGTGGTAGCACGCGCCTGTAGTCCAGCT